GCGTTCTCAGCGTGAAGGGCTTTGACGGGGGAGAGAACTAGCCGACAAGCCAACATAAATATTCAAAAGGAGCGCTTGTACTTATATCGGGAGATAAGACAAGAGATCACGCACAGGAAAATTACCCCAGCCAAAATTCAACTCCAGAAACCGTCGACGAAAATAAAATAAACATAAAATTAACTTCGTTTTGTTACTAAATTTAAATTAGTATAAGCCTCTTGAGCCAGTCAAAGTAGAGAATTACAGAAACGCTAATGATGAATTCAGTCAGTTATATGCCATGCGTGATACACGCTTACGCGATCATGTATCTTTCGATACATGACTGACGAGGCAGATTTTTTCCCCGCAATAGGTGGCCATTTCTTACAGCGGTATACCAGTTGCCATCCAAGGCTATAGAACCCGGTCTGTCCTGATATTTACCCATAGCTGGGGGGAGAAGAAGAGGATTCATACCTATTTTTCTGGGGTATTAGCACGTATATGAATATCAGTCTGTTATGTACTCTTGAGATGTTGAGTGTTTCCCCGTGCGTGTATTGAAATAAGGACAAAAACATACGTAGGGAAAAATACTAGTATATCTGAAGTGGTATTTACAACAGAGAGATTAGTAGTCAAACGAATGCAGGTTAGTCAGTAACAATCAGAAAGAGTATAAAGTCCAACTGTATCTTCCGGTAGAGAGACGGAAGTGTGATGGTCACCTGATCTTTCCAGAACTCTATATAACTGTCCTATTAGTAGTAGAGAGATCAGTCCATTCTGATGAGAAGGTGGGTGCGCCCCAGCATGTGCCATGCGTGATACATGCTTAGGCGATCATGCATCTTTCGATACATGTCTGACGAGGCAGAATTTTTTACCCGCAGTAGGTTGCCATTTCTTTCAGCGGTAGACCAGTTGCCAAACAAGGCCATAGAACCCGGTCTGTCCTGATATTTACCCATAACTTCTGGGGAGAGGAAGAGGATTCATACCTTTCCCAAGAGTGTTTAGCAGTATTGTTTGCGATGGACTTTACTCCAAGGAAGCATACGAAAATTCTGAGCAAATCAAAGTAATATAAACTGGCCTGAAAACTCTCCAGATTTAAATCCAATCGAGAATCTGTGTTCAATCCTCAAGGAACGACTTCTTTGAATGGACATACGAACTACTAACATGTGCACTGGTTTATGTTTCATTGAAAAATACGACAAAAATTAAATAATAATGGAATTATTCGTTTCGCTTCAATTAATTTGCACCTTGTGATCTATTATTATTATTTCTATTACATACATGCGGCTATTATCCTCATCTTTGTTATTATTATCACAAACGTTTAGGCCTTTGTGCTCTCCGGCCTTCACCATGTGCTGGTCGATCTGTGAAACCGACAGGGAATTTCGAAATGAACCCTTTATATAAATTTGCAGGGCTAGATTGCTATTCTTTCGCTGAGCAGGTCTGAGACCAAGTATGCAATGCTGTGCTCAGGGATCGAACTCTAAATTCATCTCACCATTTTTACGCACCAACGCTATTAACGTGGATTAAATTAACCAAATGCTGTTAATGTAGAATAAATAAAAAGTTCAATTCGAAGTACCCTCAAGGTTACCCAGATCTATAAACACCTCATAAGGGCCGGAGAACACAATGGCCGAAACGTTGTGACATGAGGATAATTATATATATATATATATATATATATATATATATATATATATATATATATATATGTATGTATGTAATGTAAATGTATATATAAATATATATATAACTATATATATGTATATATATATATATATATATATATATATATATATATATATATATATATATATTATATAATACCTACCTAGATTTAACCGAAAGTTCTATGCAAACTGTTTCTTCTCTCGTCCTTCTTGCTTGTGGAAATCTCTTCCGGCTTCTCGCTTCCCAGTCAACTTTGCTCTTCAAAAATTTAAATGCAATGACAATCGCTATCTACTGACTTCTTAATTCTATGGTTCTGTCCTCTTTAATAACGTTTCTTTTTTTCTTATTCTTTCGCACTCATTAACAACTTGTAACTTAGTGGCTAGATATAAGCATAAAGTACTATGCAGTTAACAGTTTCTTCTCTCGTCCTTCTTGCTTGTGGAAATCTCTTCCGGCTTCTTGCTTTCCAGTCAACTTTGATCTTCAAAAATTTAAATGCAATGTCAATCGCTATCTGCTGACTTCTTTATTCATGATCTTTTAGTGTTGTCGATCCTTAATAATTTTCTCTCTCTCTCCCTCTCTCCCTCTCTCTCTCTCTCTCTCTCTCTCTATATATATATATATATATATATATATATATATATTCATGAATTATTCACAAAAAACAAATGCAAAGGTTAATGATTTAATTGGCGAGAAATCCATCGTCCCAAACAATTCAAATAATATACAAAAACCTCCGAATCCGTTATGAATGAAAAAGATCCTTGTTTCTATAAATGTCTGCCGTATTAGTTCTTATTTTTACTACAAGCTTTCGTCTGTTCCTACAAACATCTTCAGGTATAGAATAGATGTTGTTCTTGTTTTTTCTCTTAGTAATAAGAGGACAACGAAAATATATGTATTGTTGTATCCGAAAATGCTATTGGAAATGACTTATTATTTTTGGAGCGTGCAATAGCACCGCTGAGTTTCATTTTAATTTTTTTACAGTCGTGCGTTCATGTACAAATATGGTGATAAACGAATTTTTTACTGGTAAATTTTCTGTCAAAGTGGCATGAACTATATTGTTCAATAATTACAGTAATGTCGCACTTATTATCTAAAAGTCGCACTTGGATCAGTTATTCTAATTTCGATAAACGTGCAATCAATTTACCAGTAAAAAATTCGTTTATCACCATAAACAGGTTTTTGTATATTATTTGAATTGTTTGCGACGATGGATTTCTCGCCAATTAAATCATTAACCTTTGCATTTGTTTTTGTGTGAATAATTCATGAATTTGTAAATTGATATATATATATATATATATATATATATATATATATATATATATATATATATATATGTGTGTGTGTGTATATAAATATATATATATATATATGTGTGTGTGTGTGTGTGTATGTATATATAAATAAAAAGAAAGAACAGTAAGATATATAATCCAGTGTTCTTATAGATATTTTTATTTTTACAAAATAGTGCTCAATGTAAATTTACAGAGCATAAATATTATAAATTAATTGATTTAAAATATGTTTTTTCCGTTACACAGTTCTAACCATGTTTCAAAAATGTAAGCTAAACGCCCCGAATTTAATTTTGTAATTAAATTAAGGACATTAGTTCCATTTCCTCCTCAAGGGAATAGCGGAAAAGACCATATTTTAAATCAATTAATTTATAATATATATATATATATATATATATATATATATATATATATGTGTGTGTGTGTGTGTGTGTGTGTGTGTGTGTGTTTCGCACTCAATATTAGGTATGACCTGCCCCCTCATCTTGTTGTGACCTGCTAATCAAGTTTTCTCTACTGAACCTTCTTTTTAAACTTATTCACCGTTCTCTTGATGTCTTAGTGACATTGTTGCCTTGCTTCGGGTAAAATGATAAATAAATGCCATTACGTCGTATTCTCATCCAATATTGCTCTCATACTTAAAGCAGAGTCATTGGCATCTCGCTTTCAGTAACTTTCCAACCGCCGTAATATGTGCCTTTTCTATAATTACTTTAATGAATTTATAGTCAATATGGACAGGTGTAACCGTAAGTTCTATGCTAACAGTTTCTTCTCTCACACTTTCCGTTTATGGAACACTCTTCCGACTCCATGCTTCCCCGTAAACGTTGATCTTTAAAAATTTAAACGTCATATCAGTGGTTATTTTTTTAATTCTTGTTCTTTTATTGTTCTCTCATCTTAATAATACAGAGTGACTAAAAAAAAAAACGGGAACATTTTAACAATCCAATAAAACCAAGAGTGATGGAAGAAAAATATTTTATACATAATAATTGAAACCTTAAAACATGCCATTTAAGAAACAATGATGGAATTTTCATTTTTTAAAAATGACATCCTGTAGATGGCGTCCTCCTGTACGAATGCATTCTTGAAATCTGCTGTTGAGATTCCTCATTGACTGCTGCAACATCTCAGCTGGGATACTGTGAATTTCATCTTGAATTCTAAATGGCGATATGTTTACTTGCGCAAGGTCATTGTCTCGCAGTGTTGCCACTTGCTCATGTCTGGCAATACGCACTTCAATAATTCCCGTTTTTTGGGGTCACCCTGTATTTTTCTTTTTTCGTATTCTCTCACATACAGCAAATCATTGTGCCTTAGCGGCTTTATTACCTTGGTTGTGTAAAATAATAACAAAAATAACAGTATATACATATCTTACTATTTTTCTAGTCTTACACTTAAACAGTGTAGAACATACTCAGACAACTATAAATGTACACACAAAAATTTATATTGACACACAGTATAAACACAGTTTATCTACTGTTTTTCAGATGATGCATTGTATAATGCAATATATTAAGAAAAGAACGCATTGTGTTGTGTGTGGTTCATCCCATATGATGCCAGAAGAGACTTTGTTTTGGTATATATATATATATATATATATATATATATATATATATATATATATATATATATATATATATATATATATATCAAATCCAAATGCAAAGTGATTGTACAGGCCTACATCTGAAACATTAAAGTGCATGCAAAGACACACTAAGACGCACTGACAGACACACCCATAATAAATATCGAAGTACTTGCACAGACATATAAATACAATAGACTGGTTACCACCCAAGGCTACAGAAACCAGTCTGCCCTACTACTTACACATATCTGGTGGGAAAAGAGATGGACATATTTTCCCCAAGGCACAAAAGCAAATGTAATATACTCAACTGGAATTCGAAATTAGTTCCTCAATACTTTTCCAAAAAGAGGTATATA